GCTGTTTGTTTAGTACGGGTACTAAAGTGATCTTACAAGGCTATTCTACATCGAGGTAAACTGGACATGATTTTCAATTATTGCAAGACTAATTTGCCTGTAGGGTGCCATTACCATCTGCGTTGGCTTCTTTTCTATGTGGGCATTGCCTGACTACGTTCGTCACCTCTCTAGGCCTTTTCTCATGAAGCTAATTAATTATTCCGTCAGCCTGTTTAATACACGTTGGCTATCACCCACGGAGAGGCGTTTAGCCCAAGCCCGGCTCGCAGAGGATGCAGGTGAAGCGGATCAGGACCGCGAAGGCGAATCGTGAGCACAGCATAACATCGAATCACATATATTCTCGCATCGCTTAAGGACCACCATAGGATGTGGACAGGCCTAAAATTAGCCTGCAAAGATGTAAAGGTGCATATCTTTTCCCTCATGGGTATATCGCAGCTCCTGGGATTGAGCTTCGTGAACTTCTTCCCAACGTAAGAGCCCTACGTTTGTTCAAGTTGCGAAGACGGATGTCATATTCACCATTCTCTGCTTCATTACAATAGCCTTACGGCAACGCTTGGCTTTAACACTACGATTAGTCTGCTCCTCGCCGCGTAAGTAACTGTCCAAGCCCAAACAGCGCTTCGTTAATTGCTAAACAGTCTTTTGGATTAGTCCACCGTGGATTTTCGCTACTATCGTTTGTTGCCTGAACGCCTTTCATGCTGGTGAGTTGCGTACCCACTCGAACTGAAGCAAGCTGTCTGGCATCCTCTCCAGACCGATCAGGCGAGCGTTTCTTACACCTTGCCGTGCCTTCGTGGGGTGTCATGGTTGGCTACATTATTGGAGTATCGACTTTCTCTGTTGGCGGTCGGTACGTTTCTATGTTCCTAATGGCTAGTGGATATGCAGGTTCGTCTCACCACCTCCGCTGAATCCTTGCCGAGTTTCGTGAGAAGTAAATCTAATAATATCTCCTCCACCCTGATACGTGATGACTAAATTCAAACCAAATCGCGGCTACGTACCTGGGGCGGTCCTGCGCGGCAGGCTCTGCGCTAACTTTGGTCTGGGTTTCCAATACCATTCCGAGGCCGCCGACCAAACGAGCTGCAGCAATAGGGATTGTAAATGGATTCGGCACCATCGGATTCTTGTGCGTCTTATCTGTGCTTTTGTCTATAAACACCCATTTCTCACATGACATCGTACTTTTATACGCATCTTCCTGGCATGGTGCCATTCCACAGGATCGGTTCATATGCGTGGAAAGCACAATGGGGACCGGCATACCACCAATCGATGTTCATCGGTATCGCGGCACTGGCGTTCAGTTCTTGCCTAGCATTCGGTAGGTCATCTCTTAACGTCCTGCCTCGACGTCAAGCGTGACTGAAATACGTCGGCAGTGATGCGATGGATGCTGGAACACGAGAATGCAAAGCTCGATGGAGACGAGCTGGGTGCGCTCAAGGGCGCGAATCGCCAACGTATCGAGAAGTTTGCGCACTTGGAGAGTATCACAATCGAAGAAGCTATGGAGAGAAAGCGAGGGTTCAGGTATCTCTATTGAGGTATGGGAAATATTCAAGGAGAATGCATTTGTACGACCTTGTGTATGAATTGTTGCTGCAGTGTGGACATCCTATGAAAGAGATTGCAATAAAATATCTGGATAGATGTGCGCAGATGTACAAAATAATTGGGATACAACATTGCTCGTTATATTATAAAACAGAAGATGAGAAAATAGTAGGCAAAGAACGGTGCTAAAAATCATCTACCAGACAACATGGTAGTACCGGCGCCGTTTAGTATGTATTCCATACAAAATCTGGAAGGACGGTCCTCATCACTATACATAATAATTTACATTAAGCCCTGATCATGCTTTACGAGTATTAAAAGAAGACGTACCTTTCCAATGGTCCAGAGCCCCCTTGTCCTGCCACGCACCCAAAGGGTTCCTCTTATCTGTCAACACCCACTTGCGTTCCTGCTCAGGAGTAATATCTCCGAGGATAAGTTCGGGTGGTACCTCGCGGTCAGGCAACACGCTCAAGACGTGTTCGCGCAGGTACGATGACATGTAGTCCTCCCGTTTGGCAGGTCGGAACGTCAAAGGGTCCGAGGAGGGGGAGCAGAAGAATACCTGTTTTCATTAATAAAAATGATGGTGAGATGGTGAACGTAGAGCATTTACGAACGTGCGTACCAGGTTGATAAACTCAGAAGTTAACTTTTGATCTGGTACCCGGATGTCATAGTCGTGGAAGACACGACATTGACCGAAGGTTCGTTTTAACGACAAGTAAACGGCCTTGGAAGACTCGCTACCTACCAGACCGGCATAATTCTGTCAAGTGGGCACATGTTGGTATGCCAATTGCTGGGATGAAAGCAAAAACTTTACCACAGCGAGTATACCGTCTGGACTCATAATCTTCCGAAGGTCTTCCCAGAACTCTAACGTAAACAAATGCGCAGGGACACCTCCGCCAGAAAAACAATCGTGTACGACGATATCATAAGTTCTGGTCCATGACTCTGCTCGATGGTGGACCCAATCGCGCGCATCTTCAATGAACGCAGCAGCGGGCTCGGGTACTCCGAAATAGTCACGCGCAGCCGAATAAACCGCTGGGTCTATTTCGACTATCGACGTAGAGAGGCCGTGCTGCATGAATGCTTGAGCTGCGATTCCGGCTCCTAGACCACTAAAGGAGGCATTAACATAGTTTCAACGAAAGATGCAGATAATAATGCATACATGACCAGTGCGTTCTGATGAGGTTCATCCTTTTGCTGTAGCCTTGCAGCCTCTTGCAGAACAAACGCAGAGTAAATCGATTCGCCAAGCTTGACTCCATCCTTATCTCGAACAAATTCAGCACCGTCATCCATCTTGCCCAAATATTTGTCACCGATCCACACACCACCGAGCAAACTGTGGTCTGCACGGAGGAATCGAAAACCATGCGTTTTATCTTCACCGACAACAATTCGACCGGTAACGCTTGGTGTGGAAGAAAGGATACGAAGCAACCCATTCGAATGCGCGTACGGAAGAGAACGAATGGCCATCGGAGGTTGCGAGAGACAAAATAAGGTGACATAGAAAAGCACAATGAACGATGTGTAGCTGCGTTTTGTAGCCTGAGCTCCGAGTTTTGAAGGCTTTTTTGAACTATGTTCGACTATGGCCACTATCCAACTCATGACTAGAAGCTGTTTGCCAGACATGTCAAAGTTTATTTAGAAAATGTATCTTATCCTGCTTACCAGAGCAGGATGGCTAAAAAACCTGTTGAACTTGATATGTGTCCATAGAGGTTGAGAGTGCAGAACGAGCAAAGATGTTGCAATAGCGGCAAGTGTCTTCACAGTAATTGACCTCCCTGACTAAAATAAATTAGATTCTGACTCTGCGGTAAACGTAAGTTAGAAACTGGTTACCAGCATCTCTCGTACTCCATCGGTTGTAGAATATGCTAGTAGCCCTAACACTGGCGCGTAAGCTAACACGGGTCCCAACACTGGATTTCCGAGTCGCGCCGTCCAAGTTGCTAGGCGATGTAAGACCAAAGGTGCAACACAAAGAGCACCAGTAACGACTGTCTTTCGCGCGGTTCCAAGACCTACTCCAAAAGGGATAACGGTCGAAATAACAATCAAGGCAGCAACAACATTTTGAAGATATAGGTTCGTAGCAACACTTCCGAACAAAGGTGCGAGGACTTTTTCAGTCACGAAGACACTTGAGGAGAGTGCAGAAATAGAGACGACTGTTCGAATTGCGAGACGCGATTTACTTGATTGCACAGGCACACTGGTCGTGGCACTTGTCTTTGTTTTTGACACTTTCTCTTGCGACATTTTGGAGGTGCCTGGCGGCAGCGAGCCGTTCTACCGCCTTCGTAAAGATGAAAGATGGGTTTCAGAGGTAAAGAGCCGAAGACGTGGCATTTTCGCATTTGGAAAATGTCCTGTGGCGACAAGCAAGAGCAGCAGTTGGTTGCCACTCCATATTTGGTAGTTAGTTCTGCCGCTGGACATCTAGTTATGGCCATATCCGCTAGGGATCACCATATTTCTTTCCTTCTACCACATTCTGGTCTACTCCTTTGCCTTTGGATGAATCGTGTGGTCAATCAACGCGGATGAGTTCCCCCAATGGTGTTCTCTGGATCATTGGCCGATCGGCCAGTCAAAGAATATTATTCAGCTAGTGGTCAGCAGAAGTGATGCGCGCAGCGCAGTCGGTCAAGCTACTACGCCGCTTAAAATATCGCTTCGAATCGGACCTGTCGAGTCACTTGAGGCTTTAGACATGTTCTGCTTCGCTTAACGTGACTGCTTCACCTCGGCAAGAAGATTTCGTGCTCGGTGTAGTGAACACGATGTCCGCCATCAAACTTGTCTTTCTGTATTTTTCTATCGCTTTCGCTTGCTGAATACGCATGTCTCTAAACTGTGCTTGAACTCTTCCGATATTGACTTAAATGGCTAAAGCTTCTTGGGTATGACCTGACGATGACATGATGGCTTACTATATGCAGTGCTTTGCAAAACCTCTCAAAAGTCATCCATAGCTGGCTGTTTGTTAAACTACCGGACTTTCTTACAGTATAAATGCTTTGGGACGCAAGGACTTTGAAATGCAGCACTAATTGTAGCTTGAGATGGATTCAAGATCTAGCTCGTTAGATAAAGCTTCTCAATCTTCATCTCTTACTCGAGGCCAAGCATGTATAATCTGCAGGTACGTAGTATTTCTATGCCCGAAAAATGGTTTCCTTTCTGATCATAACATGTAGGCGTAAGAAGATGGTAAATCTCCTAGGTATTTTTGAAACGCATATATTGACTTCATGCGCAGAGATGCGATGGTGCTCGTCCATTCTGTGGACCATGCTCTCTGACCAAGAAACCGGAGCACTGCGAGTATACGGATAGACAAGGCCGTACATTCATGGAAGTTTTAGAAGAGCGGCTCCGCATACTCAAGACCCGGATTAGAGAATTAGAAGAGCAGCAAAGGGATGAACCTGTCCTTTTACACAACCCGTATCCGCAGGCAACGGGTATGTTATAGAGGGTGTTCGGATACAAGATCGCGCGGGGACATGATTTCCCTGAATCATGATCTGCAAAGTGTGCAGATCATAATATCGAAAAATGATGGAGTGTGCCGAACAGGTCAACTGTATGATTTCACAAGATCATGGGGTGTACTGAACGGTTGTATGATCTCAATGTATGCTCCAGTGTAAATTCCAAATAAAATGAATATTTTAATTGAATTTCTGTACATTTTCTAAGACATCCCTCCTGTACTGTTGTCCACTACTATGAGTACTTTCTCTGACCACCAGGATTTGGTTAATACTGTTGCTCTACTATGCTGTCTTGCTGCTGCTAAAGCTGTACAATCTCTTGCTCATTATTATGTGAAGGAGCCTCTTAATGAGTCCAAACTTTCTGGTGCTGAATGGGTAGCAGAACTTCAAAATGGTCACTCAGCACACTTCCAGAGAGCATTTGGAATGAGGAAGCATGTTTTTAACAAGCTTCTGGATATATTGGAGAAGAAGGGTGGACTTTGTGAAACAAGATATATGAAAACTGATGAGCAGTTGGCTATCTTTCTGTACATGGCTGCTACTGGGAACACAAACAGAAGGGTTCAGGAAAGGTTTCAAAGAAGTGCAGATACAGTTTCCAAGTAAGTAATTTAAGTCAGTCTATTTACACTTATTCATACTTTTTATTATAGGTGTTTCCACAGGATCATTAATATGTTGAATTCACCCAGCATATACTATACATTTATCAAGCTTCCTAGAGAGGGAGCTCCTACTCCTGTGGAAATACAAACAAACCCAAAATGGTACTCTTATTTCAAGGACTGTCTTGGAGCCCTTGATGGAACCCACATATATGCTTCTGTCCTTTCTGATCAACAGTCTAGATACAGGAACAGGAAGGGATTTATATCTCAGAATGTTCTGGCTGTTGTATTATTTGACATGAAGTTTCTGTATGTTCTTAGTGGATGGGAGGGAAGTACATCTGATAGTACAGTCTTGGACAGTACTAGGCAACAAGGCTTCCTAGTTCCAGATAGCAAGTATTATCTTGGTAATGCTGGCTTTCCAGTCAGTACATTAGTACTTGTGCCATACAGAGGAGTACATTATCATTTGAGAGAATGGGCTGCTACAAAGAATAGGTATGTATTTATCTAACTCATGAAACCTTCAATACATTTAAATTTAAATTTATAGACCCTTAGATGCAAAGGAACTGTTTAATCTGTGTCATACTACAGCCAGGAATGTTGTGGAAAGAATATTTGGTGTTTTCAAAGCATGGTTTCGAATTTTTGCTACTGCACCAGAGTACTCTATCAAAACTCAAGCAGCTCTGGTGCAAGCCCTATGTGTAGTCCACAACATCATACATATTTATGATCCTGCAGAGGTGTATGAGTGGGAAGAAAGTGACAAGGATATAGGGTCCAAGACTAGCATACAATGAGCTACAGGAGGAGCTGTACAACAAGCTGTAGCAGAGAACCTACATGATTGAATTGTAGAGGACATGTGGAAAGGGTATAAGCAAGAACACTAAAGGAGGGGAGAAGAGTAAAGGAACATAACATGTAAGTGAGAACGATTTGTGAGTGACAGGAATGAAAGGGTAGAAACAAATGTGAATGAGGATGTGCTACAGCAGAAGAAGAAGGCAGTGTCATATTATGTTCTTGCTCACATAGTTGACCAGAGGATTGTGATGGTGCAATACAAGAGGCATCTTGGAGAGGTGTAACAGTTATCTATTGAGTGTTTCATGTACAGTCTCTTCAAACTGATGTATACTACTGTTGTATTGAGTGTTATGTATTGAATGACAAGCCTACACCTGTTAAGATGTGGACATTACAAGAAAACACAGTTGGACAAGGCTTTGAACAACAGTTTGGGTGGTTTTTGCAAGTCACAAAGAGGTTGCCAGTGCTCTACTCTAATACATTACAAAGAGCACTGGTGGTTTTCTGGGCTGCATAGGAATGCAGTTGCAATTGTGTGGCTGTTTGTAGGAAAACACACAGATAGACTAGTACTGTTTGTGAATCCCTTCCTGGGACACAATTTGTTCTCACTTTATGTACTGAGTAACTGGATTTTCTTGTTCAGTGTTCCTGGAACTGAGGACTATAGAGTAAAGAGTGTGTTTCCTAGTTAATCTTGTTAATGAATGCTGCTGGTCTAGGAAACATATTGAAGGTTTTCTGTGATCTGCATCTTCATGAACAGATCAACATATTGAATTCAGAGGGAAAGTAGTCAAGATATTACAAAATAAAACTAATTTACATGCCTTTGTACCTAGCAAGGGATTTCTGCAAATAAGTAGTACAGTGATCCTTATTTTGCAAAGCAAGATAAGTATCAGCAATACTAGTGTGCTCATGTATCATTTCTGCTACATCTACCATATTATTGTCAGACAATTCCTTATCCACCTCAATTGCTTGAATAGTAGCTGTCCTATGTTGTAGAGATGTCTCTGGAATCCAGGAAGTTGTTTTGGTAGGTGTCTGGGCTGTTACATTCCTTGTAGAAGAAGCAAAAGTGACTGTGTCTGCTACTGTTTTGATTGACTCACTGAGGCTTATTATTGTGTTGGCTCCTGAAGTTTGAGGCCTCTTCTTTATAGCTGTAACCTCTGGCTCTAAGGATACTGCATGCTTAGAAGCAGTACTGGAAGTCTAGAAAGTATGTTAATATAGTCTGTAATGTGTAGGCTAAGTGTGAAAGGGACTCACTGTAGGGAGAGTCTCAGTGTACTGAGTGTTGTCTCCACTAGTGTCTGACTCAAAGTCAGAGATATCTTCCAAACTCTTTGGCACAGCTGAGACAGAAGAAGTCTTGTTGCTTGCAAGAGAACTAGAGCTGGCAGCCTGTAGACTAGGTATGCCTGAAGTCTGTGTATTCTGGCTAGACTGGAATGCACTCCTTCCATCAGCTACAATCCCTTCTACAAGCTCTGCCATTTCCTCATAAAGAGGAAAGCTCTTCTTATACCATGGCTTAGCATTTTTGTGTGACTAGGAATGAATATTAGTGAAGAAGGAAGAAGATAAGACTGAGAAGTTAGTGTACCACAAAATACATCTCTCATACATTTGCTAGAGCAGTTGCCAAATGCTGGACTGGGTCCCAACCAAAGCCAGATGACTCCCTAATCTTCTTCACCTCCTAGTATACACTTTTGAGCTGTAGAGATTGTATGAGAAATCATATGTCAATAAGCTCAACTTGTAAAGACATACTCTGTGAAACTGAGACCTAACATGCTTCACCTCCTTCCTAACCCTGCCACTCTCACTCTCTGTACCAGCAAGGGTCTCAACAGCTAAAGACCAGATGACAGGCTTCCAACCACTCTCAGCCTGGAGGCCATTGTCCTTTGCCTTCTTTAGTGTCTGAATCAGAAGGGCCTCTTGATCAGCTGTCCAGGAAGCAGTGTCTTCTGGCATGAGAACACTTGCTGATCACTAGTGTGTTGTGTAGAGAGCAAATAGACGTCTTCAGAGATGTGTAGAGGATGACTGGGGTGGACAAGTGAGGGTGAGACAAGAGGTACTGTTGATGTGGTATATGTGGTCTCATCTTTGGAGCACGTGATCTCAAAATGAGATACGGCTCAGAGCCGTATCTTGTTTTTGGCAGGCGCGTTGTGATCACAGAACAAGATCAAGAATGTAGATAGAGGTGGCCGAACACCCACCTCCATCTCAAATGTAGATCATGATCACACAAGATCATCTCCTTCTCCTTTCGGAAGGAATGATCTTGTTTGATCACGCAAGATCATGTATCCGAACACCCTCTTACATTTAGGATTGGCAGATTTCTCGCGAATAGGCTCTCCTGCGTTGTTGTCCGAGTTGCCTGGAATAGGTCGGAATTGTGTCAATTTGCCTGGAATCATATTGCTAAAAAAAAAAGTACTCTCCAGGTGAGGGAGCGGGAGGTTCACAGTCAAGAATATCCCCCGCGTCCCCAGAAATTCGCCTAGAGCAGCCAGAAGAGTCGGAAATGGACGTAGACTTTGATTTTTCAGCTCTGTGAGGAGTTATTGCTCAATAATTATGCATTCCTCGCTTACCCCGATATATTATTAAGACTACAGGTTTTCCTCCCGCATGCCTCACGTCTGCACTTCTCTTTTCATGTTCCGACCTTCATTCAAGATTCGGCTTGTCCAGAGGATGACTCGCTTCGCCCACATCGATGCCTTCTTTCCGCAGTTGCATTATGGGCACTGTGCATCATGGGTCCTGACGGAGAATACTCTGAATACGAGTCACGCCACCTCAAGCTATCTCTCGACGCTCTTCCCACTGCTCATTCTAGTAACGCAGGTCGTCACCGCATACAGGCCATACAAACGGAAGTGCTTCTTGCTTTGTACTTCTTCAACGACTCGCGAATAGTCGAAGGACGATATCATCTATCTGCTGCGAGTACTGCAGTAGTAGTGTGTGGACTACACCGACTTCTTGCTTCTCAAGACGCTCCGTCCTCACCTACGACTCTTGGATCATTCCCGGGTTTAGTCTTGGACATGCCACGAAACGCATTGGACCTTGGAGAACGCATTAATCTCTTTTGGGCGGTTTACGCATTAGTTCGGTGTTGGGGTGTTGCATTGGGTTCACCTCCTACAATCCCTGACGGTCCTGCGCAAGATGTGGCAATTAAGTCACCAATACCGAAGGCTTTGGATAAATACCAGAATGTAAGTAATATTTACGCGAGTTACTGGACTTAAAGATCTGATGGAATTTACTTTGTTAAGGTATCCGTTGATGAAATTTTGAGTGCTGAAGGATTCCTAGTCACAAGCTTCTTTGACGGTTCTGCAGACTACTCTATTCTTACACAGCCTTCTTCGTCGAGGGTGGCATTTGTAATTGCCACGGCACTCTTTGAACGAGCGACACGCATTGCCAATAGCCAGAGCACAATAGGTATGTGCTTTCCTTTAGACTTTCTGCTAGAGACTTATGCGGAGTCGCATAGATGCTGCTCCTTCTGTGGAATTCATTGAAGAAATAGAAAGCTTCGGCAGGGTCATCACCAGATTTAACGACGCACTTCGAGAACAAGTATCCCCAGATCCATCCGTGACATCGGGTAAACAACACGGGACAGGGACTGGTAACATCTTGACTCCTTCCTCCTACATATTCATGTTTCTGACAACAGATCGTAGCCTCCGAGGAAGGGAAACTCCAGCAAATACTCACTCATAGCCTCGGGAACGCAGCAACACTCCAGCTGTACTTCCCGCTCCTCGGTCAAGACGGGGCGGATACGCAATGCCGTAACGTCATACGCGAGATCGTAGCGCAGATCAAACACAGCTGGGATCTCTTCCAAGACCAGCTTGGGAAAATGGACTTTTTCATCGGAGTGGGCTATTTTGTTTCGCTATATTCACCAGCAGTCAATGTGCTAACGAGTCTTGAATAAATCATAATAACAGATAATCTGGCTTTCTGCGGCGCGCGTCCTCCTCACTCAACTTGCAGGAATCACCTCTCCGTCGCCGAGCGCGTCGCCTAGCCTAACAGGTTCAGTTCCGGAACGACCTTTGGTACGCTCAAGTACACCCGAGGAAGCATCAAAAGAAGCCCGCCGCCAACTCATAGACATCCTCCGTGCCTGGGAGATCACCGAAGATCTTGAGACACTTTTGAACGCGATTCGGAGGTTGGGGGAGACGTGTCCTCTTATTGATATGCGTTCTCCGTTAATGGGCAAGTTGTGTACAGGTTACGACGGATCTTTATAGTTTCACAATTAGAGGCGCTTGAAGGGTCTACACAAGACTAGGTCGTAAGGAAGCCTGCCCAACAACTAAGCGACCTTTCCACATTATCCCGAGGACATGACACGAAACTAACGAACGATATTACCCATCCGATCTGCGTCCTATCGTAATGAAAACTCTTTGGCATGCAACAGGTCATTGATTTATTAATATTCTGATTATTATTTCATGACATATAAGAATAGAAAATCACGCATCGGCTCGGTATTTGTATATCCGGCTGTGGATGGGAGGATACAAAGGAAATGCATTTTATTTATTTGTAGATGCAAGAGACACTGCACCATTGGTATGGTATTGTATATAGGCTCTTGCTAACTTTAATTCTTAATCTTCCTTTCTTCCTTCTCATAAGTAGACATTTGGTTTATTATTTTTAAGAAGCAAAAATCAGAAAAAAAATTATGGAGGCTGAATAAGCCGAAAACAAAAAAAGTGTGATTGAATGATCGAAAGGATGAACGATTGTAAATGATTGTGATCTTTGATTCAACGACTTCCTTGCGTCAACGAGTTTGAGATTATGCTACTATGCTACAAAAGACCAAAGTGAACCCTATGTAAAGAATAAAATAATACTAGTTTCTTGTGAATGAGCTCTGCCCTTCGTCGTTGGAATTCATGTCTCACTATGTATGTCGGAAGTTGGGAAATGGTAATGAAGAACAGAATAAAATAAAACATGAATGCAATGGATTATGATAATGCTGTATGATGCACGTGCGGAGTAAACCTAAGCCCAATTACAATGAGAGAACGCTTCTGATGTTTTCTGTGTTTTTCTATCCGAGATGAGGTGTCAAGACGTTGGATTTAAAGGCTATACATGCGATAGCTTCGCTTTCTGTTCGTACGTGTAGCTGTGTTCAGAATCTTCGATAACCTGTTTGATACAAAAGACATAAGTAACGTGAATTGCTATATAAAGACTGAAAGAACAGGAGACACACCTTCGTACCATCCCTTTCCAGATCATCGAGGTCGATGTTATCTGGTTCATGCGATGTTTCCGTCTCTACTCGAATCGCTAGTGATCGACCAGTAAACGACTAAAATCATTAGGCGCCGATAGAATTATTAGATTATTATCAAAGTGCGCTAGTGGGGAAGTCTGGCGTACATTGTTCGTTATCCTCTGCTGATGATCAGAGGGTTGCGATGTCAATATCATCGATGATCCTTGGTTATATGTTTCATCGAAACCTGCTCGCGTCCCTTTTCGTGCATTCAATCTTGAACCAAGTGAGTATGGTGAATATGGTATAGATCGGACTGGATGACATACGTCGCAAGTAGAGTATTTGAGTACACTTAGAAGGTTGTAAATCGTAAGTGACGCTTGCAACACTCTTACTAGACTAGTACGTACTTCTGCTGATGCAAACGTAAAACGCGACGTAGATGAGCGCATTGGGATAAATGGACACCTAATTCGTGGAGCATATTATCAGCTTACTGCCGACCTAATCAACTGGAACAGAGACGGTACGTACGAAAAGCACAGCAAATAGCGCACAGACGCTCGTCACTGCACCAGTGTTAATCGTAAAAATAATCAATCGATTGATCATCGTTTCTGAGCGCCTAAAGCCCGTCCGTGAACGGTGCAGGAGGAAAATGAGCGTTATGGCAATAGAGACGTCGGTGGCCGCGGCAAGGCTGTTTGCCGTTTTAGACAACCATGCGATGGACGGAACCTCCGCAAAAGATGATAACCGGTAGCTGCGTCAGATACATTAGAAGGATTGTCAACACGAATGAAAATGAAAAGAAGGATGTACCCCTTTGCGAAGAAGACTGCGAGTATCGGACGTATTAGCTAAAGAAGCGGGGTACACGGATTTGAGATAACGTACGTGTTGTTGCGATGAATTGGGCAATAGCAAGAAGGGACAGTGCTACTACAAGCACCACGTTCTTTTCACTTACTGCCTCGTTGCTCAGCATACATCCTCAACGTAAGCTGCAGTGGTGTGCACTTACGTCTGAAAACCCGGTATAACAGGAACGACTGGACGAGCAAGCAAACAATTGCCTGAAAAAGCAATCACAATCCATCCTGCGACCTATTATTGTTGTAAAGTACAACCCACGCTTAACAGCACCATGACCTGTTTCGTGGAATTTCGTTGTTAGATAGATTTCTGCTCGCTCCTGTAATTGCCTGTGCACACCTCAAGCGTTGGAACGATCTTGAACAGAAATAATGGATTCCCATAATTTGATACAAGATAAAGATAACACGAATGCGAGATTAGTCCTTGGTGAGCGGTATCAAGTGCCCAGACTAAGGTCACCTACGTTTGTGCGTGAATGAGTCAGTCATATTATCGTGATTCTAATACATTTTGGATACGTACTAGAATCTTTAGTCGAAGCTCGTCTTTAGGGAAATTCTACATAACAATTGGGTCGATGGCAGAAGAAAATCATGAAGGAAAAGGATGTCGTACATTGAAGTAATAGTAGAGCTGGACCGAAGCACATCCCCAAAGCCTGTGTCAATCGTCAGCACCTTCGGGCCTCCGCAACAAATAACTTACTCACGCCATAGCCATTCTGCACAGCAATGCCAGCTCAATATCATACATACGTGGATGCATTGAACTTACAAAGTCCCAATGAACAAAGCCCCATACTGCGCCACTCACGTTAAAAATCATGCGGTTATAAGCGATGAAACCTCATGGCTCACCGTATTATCAATTACAATTACCGTTGGAACTGCACTCATGGCTTCAGCTTTATCAACGCTACGCTCAAGGGGCGAACTGTTGGTAACGGGTAGAGAACAGCGCTGAAGGCTAAGCAAAAAGAACGAGAACAAAGCTGCGAAGAAGTCCGTCCTTCTCCACTTCCCGCTAACGGCCGTATTCTACGCCCATAAGTATTATGTTTCATCTCGGCAAAAGACAAAATCAGTAATAATCGGATAAGAAAGCCAAAAATGATCAGCCGTGGAAAATTAGTTCCGAGATCCATGATCCCATAATCTCATCCCGTTAGCAACCCGAGAGTCTCCAATACTTTGCATTGTTGGCCAAACCTTACCCGTGCAGAGCTTACCCTCCAGTTGGATGACTGGTCAAAATGTATTTTGGATGAAAAATTCAACGCCGAAGACTGCTCCCGATGTTTCCGCGGCTGCAAAATAATTTAATTACGAAACATGGGTGTGCGGTTCTGGCGCCCAGTTCAGAAGCCTTGCCTCCGATGAATGCACCAGAAGATACAGTTGGGTGCCTTCTGATCAAGTGTGATTTTCCTGAGCCCGACACTTACCGGGCTCCGCCTGGTAAAAGTGAATTCTGGGCGTGCATTTATCCAAATCTGCACATGGTAACATAAACATCCACCCGAAAGTGCCTTGTGGCTTGTGATGACGACATTCCGCAGGAAATAATTTTCGCTCCTCGGTTAGTTGTAACTACTGAAGTCAGGAGATTTGGTGTATGGAGGGTTAGGCTGTCCTCTTTTTTAGGCAGAAATATTCATCTGGTTTCTTCCGCGACTCAGTTGTCCGAAATCAACGGGTGAAGAGAAGGAAGAAATGAGAATTATGGAGGAAGGTCTCGTGAAATTCTTATTACATAATTTCGTCCCACATGAATGCGATTTAAATATCCATAGTCGAAAATGCGCAGCTCGTACCTTTACCGTTGAACGACTCGACTAAAACCAATACACATATCTGCTGGCTTCGGACATTACGTGTCTAATAAGTGCATGCACCCCAATATCATGCGAGTGTATTAAAGCAACAGAAACGCTCCATTTTCTCATGTACAAAGCGACATTGTGCAGTTCATCAGAGTCATGATGCATTGCATTGCTACAGATTCGAGTACAATCAATAAAATTAATCCATCACGGCATTCTACATGGGCAACAAGTACAACACAAAAAAGCTGAGAGTCAAATATAAGACCAAATACCTACGTATTTGGTCCACTAGTGAAAATCCTCCACTTCAATGTCAAGCTCTTCTTCCATCATTATATCTTCAGGGATCATTTCTCCTCCGTTGCCTTGCAGCAAAGAGTGGTGCTGAGTATGCTGGAAAAAGTTCTGGAACGCAGCATGGTGTCGAAAAGCAATACGGCGTTGTTCTCGTTCCGCTCGAGAAGCATCGTACTGCGAAGTCTCTTTCGGAGACGCCACAGCGACAAGGGATTCAGCACCATCCATAGGTTCTATAGCGCATCGAAACCACATCCGTTTCATCCTCCGGCCGCCTGGTAAGTTCGGTACCGCGGGTGCTCGCGCCCAAATAATATCCGGAGACAACGCGACCTCGCAAAGGTCCGGCATATGAATTTGCCAGATGATCATGTATTCCTTCTGATCAATGAAACGATCATCCTCGGTTCCCGCCATATTATCGCCCAACTTGTAAAGGTGTAGTCGCTCCATATGCGGAAACTCAATGAGGTTACCGAGGATCATATAGAAATTCTGTCACCAGGCCAGGGTCATAAGACTGCGCGGGAAGGAAAAGAAAATGAAATGCTCACGTCGTCCACTCTTCCAAACTGGTAGGCAATATGGAGCTCCTTTAGTCTCCGCTGCTCCCTCGCTAGCATGTAAAATAACTCCTTATCCCACGTCTGCAAGTTGAATTTCAAAGACCGGAGTGAAACAGAGGACTTTCGCAAAATCTTTAGTACCGACTCCACCTCCGTCACGGTGAGGAATTTCCGTGTGGTGCTCGCCGTGTTGTTCTCGCGTTGGGTCGTGTCCGTTAACGTCACACTGCCAATGGCACGACCAGGGAGGAAAGTTTCTAAATACGGTGCAGGAACGGCGAGGCTCGCGAGAGACGGCAAAGCATCGGCCTTCAGACGCTTATTCGCTGGGTAAAGATCGAATGAGTCCAGCTTGCCCATATCAACTAATTCGAGATGCTGCACATGACTACAGCTGTTGAGGAAGAACAGTAGCATTTTGCAGCCTTGACGATCGGGATGGATACTTCCACGCCAGTCAAGTTCCAGAGTATGAACAGAAGATGGTAAGCCATGCGCAACGAGAGAGCCGAGAGCACGTTCGATGCTCCTATCTAGACGCAACACACGGAGTGTCGGGCTGCGTGCGAGCTTCAGTAGCGCCTTGAGCTTTGGTGATCTCGCAACCACATTGAATATGGACAGTTCTGTTAGCTGTAACTGAGTTGGATCATAGCCCGATGGATATCGAGTTGTCAATCGGCAGGAGCGGATGGTAATGCGGCGCAATTGCAATCCCGAAAGAGCATGGACGCTCTGGTAGAACGTGCGAGGTAGGGTTATGCTCCGTAGAATCAGTTCTGTAAGGCCAGAGAAACGTGGAAGAATGTCAAGCACGCGATTCGTTGCGTGGAATGTATCGGGAAAGTTGCGGCCTCCAGGCTCAATAGGTATGTTTGGTAAGCTCCTCGGCTTTCGGGCCGGCTGGATGGGGTATTCGTTGCATGAGAAATCATAATAGAGCTTCGTGTCACGACCCCGAGGTAACTTCCTCTCCGAAACGCGCAAGATACGCGTCGAAGAGAGGAGGTCCGGATGTGTTCGAAGAAATTCTGCACTACACATGGCCGCAGAGCGCGCGAAGGTGTGTGTATGCCCTACAGTCCAGTCGATATTTCGGTACAAAAGCGTCAGGGCTGTACAATAACAGGCCTTTGAAGCGAGAGCGAAGTTTAAGATATCCTTTGGCGATTGAACGAATGCTAGGATAGTTTCCACTATTTCCACGGGTATCTCGGAAAGCGACCGAGAGCATTTTTTGATTTGAGTGTTTTCCATCGCCAAGCAGGCTCCTTCGACATCATCCTTCATGACAAAATCATGCATGCCGAATTAAGAATACTCCTAGATCGAGTGTATGCGTTAATTTATCATTATAAGAGTACAATGTATAGGCATGACAGGAAATCGACTCCTCATTACTCACTAGATGATAAGCCCCTCTCCTACTTTGACACAAATGCAACGTCGCCCGATCTAGTCCAAGCACCAATGACGTCGGAATACGGTGAACCAAGGAAGCACCCAGGAATAACTCACAAGAATTAAGCCCTTTGATCTTCGTATCCAAGACTCGCGAGCAACCAAACGCGTAACGTAGGAGAAAGAACAAGATGTGAAGACTATCGCTGCCACCCGCAGCACCGAACGTAGACGAATATGACGTGACTTCAGACTGCACGGCAGTGCAAGTCTCAAAAGGAAACGTTTGGGCTGGCGTTATGTTCCACCTAAAGCAAGGTCCTAGAGTGCAGAAAGGATCATGTTCACCTTCGTATGGCCATGGCTGGACAGTCGAGGTTGAGGTGCACAATTAATATTTCTCACGATTATGTCACGTGCATTAATAACCATTGTTTAAAATTAAACCATCAAGAAAGAATGTAATGTATAAACCGTCAGAAACGGTCAAGAAGTAAACTCGGGACAGTGTATATATACCAAAGAGAACATTCTATTACTCCCCATCTGTTTTAGCAGCTATGTATAATACAAGTAACTATCGAACAAGTGAGAAATGGGTAACAATTTCTTGCCACAAATGTCGGAGGAAGCCATGAGGTCTTGTGAACCCTAATACATCTCCAAGCTCATGCCGTCATGGATTTCGTAATCCGCGAGCGTAATGTGATCCTTGTAAATCGTATACCTATACAGAAACGCA